AACGGGATTACTTTTTTGGGGAAGTAATCGGTAATTAGTTACTGATTACTTTTTTCAAGTAACTTGACCAACACTGGTCCTAATCCATTTGCAACCACAAGGAGTCACATTATAGCAGCTCCAGCAAGTCAAAGCATTAACGCTCAATTAATTAGCCAGTTTATTGATAACTGCATCAGAAGGAGAAGAGACACAGTGTACATTCAAAGCAATAATGTATCCCCCGTCTAGCTGTATTGAAATTAAAAACCTCGTTTTTCTACACTTGAAAAATTGATCAGGAATCAATCATAAAAGATTTTGTATGTGTGCATCATTAACATGGAGGACACAGCTGAAGAGTTCAAAACAAAGAAATCTATCAGTGGTGTACAAATGAGGAAGTGTGTGACAGCAGACAAATGTTTGTTGCTGTTAAACCATCCCTGAAAGGGAACCTTCAGTATTGATGAGTAGACATTGTGTGTTCCTTGCTTCCTCGTGTGGTTTCTCAAAACCTAAAGACTCACACGATCAGCCCCAACATCCTGGTGCAGTCTAAGTGCCTCGGCAAACCTTCTGGGAAATACACACAGCGCAGCAGTTTGCAATAAAAGCCCCGAAATGATGCTCAAACCATTTCTCACATCACACACACGACAATGAAACCAGCAACAAAAACATCAAAGATTTTCTTTTTCAGTTTTACCCAATTAAATAACTTCCTTTTGCTTACACCAAAGCTTAATTTCGGCTACACGCCGTGATAAAATCCAGCGGACCCCTGTAGACATCACAAGACTTCTGTCTCACACTCCAGCTGGAGCTTATACGTGCCAGTGAACAGTCCACATGCATGTGTGTGTACAGGCACGGCAGAGTAGCTTCAGCCTTGTAAAAATTATTGTGAAAATACATCAGCCTTGAGAGGGATGTCCTATCTGTGAAGACAGCTTGCATGAGCAAAGAATATACAGTAGCACTGCTGTGGGCTGCATTTGCCACGATTAATAAAATAAATAAATAAAACAGACTTCAATCCAATTTCAAGTTACAGTGACGTTAAATTAGACGCAAAATCTAAGCGATAGCAGCCTGTTATCATCCCCGCATCGCCGACACACTGTTAGCACAGCCACAGCAACACGGGGCTGCCGGTACTGGAGGAAAACAATTATTATCTCCAAATAGGGGGGCCCCATCCGTAGAAATTTTAATTAAAAGACTGGCAGAGTTTCATCTCAGTGTGACAACTCCATTATTTCTCAATGATAAAACAGTCTCCTAGCAGAACAAATTCAATTGCAATGGAGTGACTTCCACTGGCGGTTTAAGTGGGCAGGCCAAGCTAATCGTTTTCCTGACCTTGGCATTTTGATATCCGGGGGAAGTAGTGTGGTGAGGCCGAAATTAGTGTCATTATTCAAACGTGGTGTCGAGGGTAAGTCTGAGCTCAGTTGAGCAAAACTTTATTCAAACTGTTTATTTTTGAAACGAGGAATACTGAAGTTCAACAAATAAATTAAAAGGGCAACGCCGGCCTCGGCGCAGCCTGTTCATCCTCCTGTCGTCTCGCAAGCAGCAAAGAAATAACCCCAGCTCTACTCACCCTGCCCCACATCCATAAATAATACTTTTATTTCCTCGCCTTTCAGTCTGTTGCACCAAGGCTGTGGAACAGTTTACCACTACAATTACGTTTGCTTGACTCTGTGGATTCTTTTAAAAAACAGTTAAAAACTCTTCTGTTCAAACAAGCCTTTTGTTGATCTACATATTTTATATTTTTTACATTATTTACATTTGATCTTTTACATTGTATATAATGTTTATTGATTTTATTGTTTAGTTTAATATTTGTGTACAGCGCTTTGTGATTGTCTGTCTGTGAAAAGCGCTTAATAAATAAAGTTTACTTACTTACTCGCTAAATCAAAATATTTAGTATACTTGATGTAATGAATCCAAACTAGTTGTAATTAGGCAAGCAGAAATAAATAAGCCGATCTGCACGTGTCATTAATATTCTGTGCTGGTTTTACCTTCATCTGGATCATTCCTGGCCGAAGCCTCCAGGAGCGCCACGCTGGCGGCAAACGACACGTGTTTCTTGGGCTCTGATTGCTGGAGGCT